TGGCAGTTCAAACTCACCAGCCACTCCTCGGAAGGAAGGTTGGGCATTCTACTTCTGTAGTGATACTGCCTTGGAAACCCAAGGAGAGGTTGCTATCAGTCGGTCCGACTTGACAGCACATAACAACAACAGCAACGAGTGTATTTACCTAATGTAAATGTTCAGCTCATATGGTGTCTTTTGTTTGGCTGGAAGCCACAGGAGTAGGTTCAATTCCAGACCTGAAGGGTACTAGGGGCCATAATCTTAGGGGTTCTACCAGGCTCTATCAGACCAACAAACCTGGTCCGTTTTTTTTGTTTGTTTGTTATTTTTTTAATGATTTTGAGTTTTGTTCCACATTGTTACCCCACTCTATCCAGGATCTCCTACATATATCCCCCTTGGAGTAGTTGACAATGGTAGCCAGGCACCATCTAGTTCTTCTGGTCTCATAGTCATATAGGCTCACATAGTATACCAGTCCCTAGGACTAATGGTTTCCGTGTGTCTTTGGTTTACTTTACTTTTTAGACCATAAGAATACAAACATTCCTCAGTTATCCATTCTCTTTAGCTTTATTTTGTCTGCTTCTCCACAGGGCCTTTTTGACCTATACCTTCATCTAAATTTAATGAGTCTTATTTTTACTTCTACTAACAAACCTTGCTATCTTTATCTCCTTCAACAAAAAAGATTTCTATTGGGAGAACAATTTGGAACAAAACTCAAAATCATAAAAAAAAAGTAAAGGGACCAGGTTTACTGGTCTAATATAGCCTGGTGGAACCCCTGAGACTATGGCCCCTAGTTGTCATTCAGGTCTGGAATTGAACCCTTTCCTGTGCCTTCCAGCCAAACAATAGACATGTGAACTGAATATTTACATTAGGTAGATATATTCCTTGGAGAGAACAATCATGGGAGAAGAGAAAAGCTGTGTGTGCACAGGGAAACAGCTTGAGGGGACAGGAGTGCATGGGAGGAAAGGACACAGGGAAGAAGTAACTATGGGGAGGAAGTGTGTGGGGAGCTGTTGCATTGTGGGAAATTGCAGTCAATGTTATGAGATAAAGTGTATGTGAATTGCTGTATGGAAGATGAATTTGCTCGTAGACTTTCACTCAAATTATAATAAAAATTGGAAAAAAAAAGATTTCTGATCAATATTTCTACTTCAAAATATTAGACTATATATTTGAACTAGATACACTTCCTCTCTCGAGGAGACAGTATTATTAGTGGAGCTTTGGATTCAATAGACCTAGGTTTAAATTGAAATGTAACCATGGCAAATTAGTTAACTGTCCTGTCCCTCTGAATTCTTCTGTGTCAAAAGGGAAGAATAAGCTCCACAGAACGATAATAAAGATTAATAAGCTAAGGAGCTGAATGAAGTACTTAGCAGTGTCTAGGACATCAAATAAGCTCAGCAGGTGGTCACTTTGTTATTGTGGGTGTTGTTTTCTCTTCACCTCTCTGTTTATGTGTCAAGTAATAGATGATAAACTTACCTGTTTATTCTTGCTTATACTATTTCTAGTAGTGCCAATGGGAAGATATTATAAGTATGCAGAATGAGTACAAGATAAAAAACAGCTCGTGGTCCTCTAGAATAGTCTGGCTTTGGAGTTAGGAATTTCTTCCTCTTTTCCCACTCTTACCTGCTCAATCAACTAGTTATTCAACTTTTAGCTAAATATGCATACAAAATTCCTGACATAGATAGGGATGGAAGAGTGAGGGAGGAGTGTAAGACCTGTAAGGCCAGGTGATCTTCGTGTACCTGTGATTCCAGTTCTTGGGGAGCCTGAGTCTGAAGGATATTGGGAGCTCCCAACTCCAGGCCTGTGGTGCTCTTGCTAGAAAATTGTCCACACTCAGGGAGGGTCTCACATCATCCAGTTACCCAGGCAGGACCACCTGTACAAAGTAGTTACTATCTTCAGTGTGGAAACTCCACCAGTTATCAAATATGAGTTGTGATTCAGCTGACCAAACAGTAGAGATAATTTTACGTTATTGTACTTGGAGAAGCACCCCACTAAGTAGCTCTCAATTAGCATCCATTAAAAAATGGCATGTTTGTTTAGCTTAATTTTTTTTTTTTTTCCCTAGCAAGAGGGAAAGAATCTTGACCTTCTTTTTTTGTTTTTTTTTTTTTTGTTTTTTTTTTTTGCCTCGTAGGAACTGGCTGGCTGCTGATACTAAAGAAGAGCGGGATCTCTGGATGCAAAAACTCAATCAAGTTCTTATTGATATTCGCCTCTGGCAACCTGATGCTTGCTACAAACCTATTGGAAAGCCTTAAACTGTGGGACATTTCCTTCTGCCATACCTTGTAGAGATTTTTTGAGCTGTGTCATGCATGTATCTTAAGAAAACACTTAAGAACATCCGATTTGCTGATTACATCCTATGCTTTAAATGTGGAAGGACATGTGCCAATATTCACTACATATTATGCAGTATTTATATCTTTTCTATGTAAATCTTCACCCTTTTCTGTCATTCATAAATGATTACAAGTAGATTCATTATAGTTGATTTTGCTAAATCTTAATTTAAAAGCCTCACTTTCCTAGAAATGTAATTGGTTATTCATGACAAATTTTTTTTTTGTTTTTTAAATAAGAAATTTTGAGTTGTCTTCTTGGTACTGTGTGGATCCTGAAGTGGAGAGATCTACCAGGAGTTGGAGACAGAAACTTCAGACTTCTGTGATCACTTCTGTAACCTCAGTACTTTTTTTTTTTTTCTGAAGGTTATGATCATTTATTGTTACTGGAGTACAGAAAAAAATTTCTAAGTGACTTTATGCAAACATTTTTAGTAATGGAGGTAAGAATTTTTTCAAATAGCAAATGTATACTAAAGTTTAAAGCTTGAAGTTGCCTTCCAAAATGAGATGTCCATATAGGGGATATTGTGAGCTTTGAAGTTAAGTATTTTATGGAAAAAAGTTAATAAATAATCACATGGTTTACATTTACGCAGTTACTATGCATGCAGCGTGATGCACATTTTCATAGAATCCAGGCTTTTTAAAGTAACTCTTTTTGCTACATAGCTTACAGACTCCTCAAATATACTTGGCGTATTGGTTCTTTCTGCTCTTGTAACAAGAAAAATGTAAATTGAAGAGTCTATATATATATATATATATATATATATATATATATATATAAAGTGAACCTTACCAAGCTGCTATAAACTAATACTTTGCTTGCCAAAGTTCCTGTCTTTTTTATTTGTTTCATGTTCATGTACTACTGTCTAGAAACCTATTTGAAGTAGTTTGAAAAGCAATTAAGTCATATATTACCTTTAAAAGTCTAATACCTTTCTTTTTATTTAAAATATCGTAAAGCTTGGTCTCAACTTTTCAATACACTTTTAATTTCTTTTCTGAGTTGTTAAAATTATTGATGACCTCATTTATAAACACTAAATTCTGTCAGCTCCTATCATTTTTTTATCTATTCAAATGTATTTTTTCTGATATGTATTATAAAAATATATTTTATGATCTTTTGCCCAAATAAATAGTTGTAAATTGCTTAAAGAATCCATTATTTAAGAAATATTGTTGAAATGTGTAGTGTGGCTGCTTTACATCACTAGCCTGTGAGCATCTTGGGGGTAGTACTGACAGCATCTCATTTATCTTTTTATCTCAGTTATTGTGTGTTCTGGGGTCACAGTTGATTGAGCAGACAGATGAAATAATCCATTTGTAGGCATTTCAACAGAATATGATAATTGCATATGAATTTGAGATGGAGGATGATTCCAAGGTTGTTAGCCAGAGACTGGGTAGAAGGTGACAAAACCAGCCAAAATAGGGAATGGATTTGAGGGGAATTATTAGAGATTCCTTTTATTTATATGAAGTCCCTGGGTGGTATAAATGCTTGGTTGCTAGCTGAAAGGTTGGAGATTTGAGTTCACCCAGAGGTACCTTGGAAGAAAGGCCTGGCAATCTACTTCTGAAAAATTAGCCATTGAAAACCCTATGGAGCACAGTTCTGACACACATGGGATTGCCATGAGTTAAAGTCAGTGGTATGGCCACTGGCTGGTTCATATATTTATAGACTTGCATTTATTTTATTTTAGAAATATAACTGTGTGTCCTGCGTTTCCTCTATGAGAATGTTGCCCCTCTGATGCCCTGTGGTCAATGGCTCCAAGGCATACATTTCCATAAAGTATGTGGGTGCGTCACCCTGGGTTGAGTGGTCTGCAAGTACATCTTGTTTACTATTGGGCTGAGAGCCAGTACCTGGGAGTGAGTTTTTTTCCAGGCCCAAAATGTATCCCAGGGCCATAGTCATGGGGGTCTCACCAGACTCCATCTGACCAGTAATTCTGGTTATTATTGTGTTTTTGGATTTTGTTCTACATTTTTCCTCCTACTCTATCCAGGGTCTCCAGTTTTGATCCTTTCCTGAGTGATTGGCATTGGTAGCCGGGCACCATTTAGTTCTTCTGGTCTCGAGGTCCATCATGTCCTAGGGCTGATTGCTTCTAAATGCCCTTGGTTTTTTGCACTCTTCTTCGCTTCTGGCAACAGGAGACCATTAGCTTCATCTTAGATGGCCGCTTGAAAGCTTTTGAGACCCTAGTTGCTACTCACCAATGTAGGATGCGGAACAAGGCTTTTATGTATTTTGTTGTAACAATGGAGTCTGGTGTCCCCCAGTACTATGGTCCTGAGTCGGTAGATCCATTGGATCTCTCTCCCACAGTGTCTGGCTGTCTCTGAGGGATTGCTCTATGTCTGTCTTCTGTTGTTTCTGTAAGGATTGCAGGTATTTTGTATCACTGGTATTTGTGCAAGATTATAGAGGCTTGCATTTATTTTTGAATAGACATTACATAGCATGGTACAGATTTAAAAGGCACAAAAAAAGCTAATGGGAAAAGCAAGTTTTCTTCCCTTGTCCCCAGCTACTTATTTCTCACCTGAGAGACAATCTCTTTTTATTGGTTTTTGTGTGTCTTGCCAGATTCTGTGCATGTACAAACACAGGCATATTTATATTCTTATTGATCATGAAAAATATCCTGTGCATATTGTTTGCTGTAAAAGTTTTTTAAAAGTATCTCTTAGAGCTCATTCTATCTCAGTATATATAGAGTGTATACAGTCCACTTTTAGGAGAAATGCAGATTAAGGGGACCATGGGATATCCATTAGAAGTAGCTTGTGAACAGTGGAAAATCCTCTGGAGATCTGCATAGGGAGTTGGTTGAAATAATTAGAGTGGATCCTCCAGGGGGTATGATGTGGGAAGGGAAGCCAGACAAAAAGGAACATTGTTATCCAGGGAAAATGTAAAAGAGGAGTGACTAATGATTGTCATCTGGGAAAGAGAAATAAGAGTATCATCAGTGTCTGGGGAGATGAGAGAAAAATCTTAAGATACTGTGGTAGTTAAGGCTGTGTGTCAACTTGGCAGGGATGTGATTTTGAGTGACTTGGCACCTGAATGTAGTAATTCCCTATGATGAGATTGGACATTGTGTAATCACTTCCATGGTGGAATCTGCTGTGAGCAGTTAATCAATTGAAGGAGAGTTGCCTTTGGGATGTGGCCCGCTTCCAATATATATGGAAAAGAGCCTGTATTTGGTTCATGGGCCTTTCTCTCCTGTTCCTGGACTTGAACCAGCGGCCCACTGTGTTTCCTGCCTATTTTAGGATTGTTGCCGTTTTAGCCTGTGAGTCAATAATCTGCCATTTTACCTGCGGATTTTGGATTGGTCAGCACCAGGAGCTGCTTATATGAGGAGAAGCCTCCAGCTTGTTCCATGGGACCTAGAAAGCGGAGCTGAACCTCCAACCAGCCCCCAGAACTGGCACTCTGAATTTAGACTTCTAGCATCTATGCTGTAAGAGAATAAATTTCTGTTTGTTAAAGCTGTTCAGTTGTGGTCTTTCTGTTATAGCAGTACTAAAATAAAACAACCAAAAACAGCAGCATTAGAGAACTAAAACCTAACAAACCAAACTCACTGCCCTTGAGTTGATTCCAACACATAGTGACCCCTATGGGGTGCCCAAGGCTGTAAATCTTTATGGAAGCTGACCCACCTTTTTTCTGTGGAACAGCTTCTAGGTTTGAACCAATGACCTCCTGCTTAGCAGTCAAATGCCTTAACCATTACACCACCAGAGCTCCTTACAAGAGAACTAAGATAGATGCTAGTCACCGAATCATCAGGCAGATTAAAGAGAATGTGAGCTGAAATTTGAGGAGGTCAATTGTGTAAAATGGTTCAGATAAAAAAATCAGACTACAGAAAAAGCCATGAAGGAAAAGAATGGTAGATTTGATTATGTAAAATAATCACTGCATGATAAAATATCTGTAAACAAAGTTAAATCATAAGCAAAAGACTGGGAGAAAAATTCACATCATATTTAATAATCGTAAAATTCATATTTGAAATTTAAAAAGAACTATTATTGGCTATCATTTTTTGAACATATACTATATACTAGGCGTTATTCTTGGTGTTTTGCATGGATTATCTCATTTAATCTTTTAATGACCTTATGAAATAGGTGTTGGATGTGGAAATTGAAACTTTGGTAACTGTTCTGAAGGCACACACTTAGCAAATGGCAGATCCTCATTTGAATGCAGATACTGCAGAATCCACATACTTCACATTATACTATGATGTTTCTCAAATTAATAAGAAAAAGAAAATTCAATCTAACATGGAGGGGTGATAATATTAGCAGGAAGTTCATACAAACACACACATATCCAAAGAATGAATGTACTTGTCAAAATAATTAATAATAGAAATAAACAGAAAAATGCAAATTTAAATGATGGTGACCTTCTGATTGGTGAAACCGTAGCGATGTTGCTGAGGGGGGCTTGAAGAAACAAACTCTTGTAAGTCCTAGTGAGAATAAATGATGCCTTTTTGGATGGCAAGTTGCAGGAATCCCTCTCTGCTAACACAGGATCATATTGATCAAAGATCTTACCCATGTCAAGCTTTGCTTATTATCTCAAGGATACCAGCAATCAAGAAGTCAGGGCAGGGAGAAGTCTGGGACATCCTGCATGGCTCCCAGATCTTTCATTCCTACACTGGCCAGAGATAGAGATCTCAAAAGAGGTTGGTTTGTGGGAGCCTTTAGATGTGGAGGAGTCCCTGGTGGTACAGATGGTTAATGGCTTGGCTGCTAACTGAAAGGTTTGAGAGCACCCAGAGGTCCTCAGAAGAAAGGCCTGGTGATCTTGTGCCTGAAAAATTGCCATTGGAAACCTTAAGGAGCACAGTTCTATTCTAACACACATAGTCACTAGTAGTTGGAATCAAGTTGACAGCGATTGGTTTTACTAGTTTAACTGAAGAAACTTCATTTTATACCTCAGATATTTGTGTAGCTTGTGTGACTTTTTCCATAAAAGCCAAATCTAGAAATTCTCGGGATGGTTTATGTGGCCATCCTCAGCCAACCATTCCTGCTAGGAGTATTCCATAGGTAGATCTCCTGGCAAATATTTTCAGTCTATTTAGGAGGTTCAGTTTCAACATGTTTACAAGGAGTTTAGAAGTATCGTCTGCCTTCTTTCTTTCCTCAGATTCCATGGCCAAGTGCTTTAACTCCTTCCTCCCCACTATCCTCGGATCAACTTGCATGTGAGCAAAGACGTACATAAAAGGATGATCATTTGATACTATTTTTTAAATGGAAAAGATAGAAATAACCTGAAAGTCTATCAGGGAAGAAAATTAACAATAATCTGCAAGTCCATTAATAGGAAATAATGGTACATTTGTGGGGCCTGAAAGATCTTTTAACCAGAAGCCTTTAGTATGGAGATAGACACGTCCCATGCTGAGCCCTAATGCCTGTAGTATAGAGATTAAAATGTCCCATGCCTCAGAGCCTTTTTATCAGAAATCTGCATGGCTCCAAAAAGCCTCTTGCCCACCTTTGAAGACTCCGAGGGCTCTTACCTCCCCGGATTTCACAGGGAGTATGCACATATCAAAGAGATCCGCCCGGCCCTGAAAAATCTCTCACTCACCTTTGAAACCGGGGGGATTCCAACCTGCCCCCAAATTCCCAAACCCCTGTCATAAAAACCAAATTATCTACTCCACCCTATGTTCCTC